GGCTAATTTTTTGATTTATTGTAGAGACGAGATCTCACCAAGTTGCCCAGGCTGGTCTCGAAACCCTGGACTCAGGCAATCCTCTCGCCTCGACCTCCCAAAGTGCTGGCATTACAGGCTGGAGTCACTGCTCCCAGCCTTCACAGGTATAATACCAAGGACTGATTTGATTAAAAGACTGAGATTACCTGCAAAAAAAAAAAGTTTGTAAACTGTAAAAATATAGGAGGTGGTCCAAAGAGAGTTATCACAACTGTTCAGTCAGATTGAGCTCTTTGTTCTACTCTTTCCCCACTTTACACTACTGCACTTGACTAGTCTTAAAAAAAGAAGGCCGGGCACAATGGCTCTCGCCTATAATACCAGCACTTTGAGAAGGCAAGGCGAGAGGACTGTCTGAGCTCACGGGTTTGAGATCAGCCTGGGCAACCTCATCTCTACAATAAATAAAAAATTAGCCAGGTATGGTGGCACACGCCTGTAGGTCAGGACTGCCATGGTCATGAGCATGCCACTGCACTCCAGCCTAGGCCACAGAATTAGACTCCAACTCAAGGGAATAAAAAAAAAGTCCAAAACATGCAGCATCTTTGGGAGAAACACTGTAAAGAAACCTCAAAATAGAAAATACCAACATAAGCAGTTTACATTATAATTATCAAAACTAACCTACTAATTTGGCTCTTTGACTTAGAGAAAATGGACTGTACTCCTAAATACTTGATATTTCAAAATCTACCACAAACTTATGTGGTACTATTCCCTACACATCCTCCCTCTCTTTGCCTTTCTTCAGATTACATCTCCCCTCTTTGTTTTGGAACAAAAACAAAAACAGGTGCTTCTAAAATCTATCAGAGATCTACCACCTTACCACTCAGCACCACGAGTATCATTTACTCAAATTAACAGCTAAGAGTAAACCAGGTAGCCGGTTCGGTGGCTCAGTCTGTAATCCCGCGCCTTTGGGAGACTGAGGTGAGTTGATTATCCGAGCCCGCGGGTTCGAGACCCGCCTGGGCAACTTGGTGAGACCTCATCTCTACAATAAATCAAAAAAATTAGCTAGGCGTGGT